CTACTCGGTTTTTGGAGCCAGAACCTAAGCTCCTAAGGTTTCCTAAGCCAGAAATGTAGGAAAACTGTCTAGACTAAAGGTAAAAATTTGGACCCCAGAAGTCAGTAGAGTAGACTTTGGTCTTGAGAATGGTCTTGAGAAAGGTTATCCAAGGAAACCCAAGAAGAATAAGTATATCATAAGAATAAAAGAATGCCAAGGACTGAACAAGCTCAATGAGCCTGTAAAATAAGACCTGAACTTACATGAGATTTTGAATTATTAGCACAGGCATTTGACATGTAGGAAACCTAGAGTCCAACTATCTTTTCTAAAAATGATAGCTTTTCAAATTTTCATTTGATTAATGAAGACAAAATCCTATTATTTCCAAAGACAAAGTTATAAATGACAGAAATGATTAATCATGGAAAGCATTTCTCCTTGTATACCATTTAGTAGAATTCATGTGAAATTCAAACATCTTCCCCTCCAAAATCATAGCCAAAATAAGATTTGGGGTAGCTAGAGAATGATCCCAAGACTGTAGCACTCAGCCATCAACTAGCTTTCAGGAGCAGAAGTTCGTAAATCTGTCCCAACACTAGAGTTTACGTGTGCCTGGCAGAAAGTGGGTTGAGTGCTGCAGCACCTGTTGGCGGTAGTTGCAAGGAAGGGGTAATTCTTCCAGTTCTGCCTGCTCATGAACTCTAGATATAGCAGAAATATAACAGGCAAAATTGTATTTATGCTAAAAAAAAGACTATTGTAATTACACATGACAATGGAATTACATTTAATAACATTTGGTCTCGTGGCACCTTGCACCTACTTTCAATAAACACAAAACAATACACATTGACTACAAAGAACAATAATACAAATGAACTCAAAATAGTTTTATCCCTTAAAGTGACACAAGGTCTAAAATTCATATGTAAATACCTGATAACAAAAGACTACCACTTTTATAATCATTTATATAGCTATTAAATGAATTACTGTAATTCTAAATAAGAATTGAATTCACAAGACATGAAGTACTTTTGGTGAAATATTTAACAAACTATAGGGGGAAAATTTTTTAAGGCGGAGGGTCTCACTCTGTCACCCAGGTTAGATTAGAGTGCATACCTCACTGCAACCTCAAACTCCTGGGTTTAAGCAGTCCTTTTGCCTCAGCCTCCCAAAGTGCTGGGATTAAAGGCATGAGCCACCACCGTGCCCAACCACTGGAAAAATTTGTACCCATATTTCCAAATGCAGTACTTATCTGTTTATATCTAAAGAAAGATGATCTTAAATCTTAAGCTATATTCTTGAAATATGTTTCTTTTTGTGGAAGCACTTAGAGTTTACCGGAATTTTTTTTGTTTGTTTTGTTTTGGTTTTTTTTGAGTTGGAGTCTCATTCCGTCGCCCAGGCCGGAGTAGCATGCTCACAGCCACCCCGGTGTCAATATGCTTGGCTCCAATGAGCCTTCCGCCTCAATCTTCCATGCAGCCAGAACTACAGGCGCACACAACCATGCACGGCTCATTTTTTATCTGTTGTAGAGATGAGGTCTCGCCAAGTTGCCTGGGCTGGTCCCGAATCCACGGGCTCAGGCAATCCACTCACCCCAGCCTCCTAAAGTGCTGGGATTACAGTAGAAACTTTTAAAAAGAAAGTTTTCAAAAAATGGTTTGTATTATTCTTTGGCCTATACAGAAATCTTCATTTAATCTTATTCAGAACAAGGATTATATCAGCTAAGTAAAATAATGCTCTTTACTATTATTATTATTATTATTTTGAGTCAGAGTCTTACCTGTTGCCCAGGCTGGAGTGCAGAGGCACACTCACGGCCACTGCAGCCTTGATCTGTTGGGCTAAGGTGATCCTTCTGCCTCAGCCTCCTGAGTAGCTGGTACTACAGGCATGTGACAGATCTCGCTATGTTGCCCAGGTTAGTCTCAGACTTCTGGGCTCAGGCAATCCTCTTGCCTCAGCCTCCCAAAGTGCTGGGATTATAGGCATCAGGCACCATGCCTGGCTCATTCTGTTTGTAATTATAGAAAGTAACTAATCATTAGACACAGTTGAGCCAGAACAGCAGTATTACAGAAGACAGGTCTGACTTCAAAAACAAACATTTAAAAAGAAGAGAGAGAAAGACCTAGCAATGCACAGACAAGTACACAAATTACTGGGTACTTACTAGGTGAAAAGCACCATGCTAAGTGTAGTGGGAGAAACAAGAGAAACAAGAAACAAAACATTCAGTTGTGTCACTGGTTACAAATTTAAGACCAGACTGAGAGCTTTGGCTCATGGCTGCAATCTAAGCACTCTGGGAGGCAGAGTGAGCCCAGCAGTTCAAGACCAGCCTAAGCAATATAGCAAGACCTTTGTCTGTCTGTCCGTCGATCTCACACACACACACACACACACACACACACACAGTCAAAAAATCAGCCAGGCATGGTGGCACATGCCCGTAGTCCCAGCTACTTGGGAGGCCGAGGCAGGAAGATCTGCCTACTCAGGAGGTCAAGGCTACGGTGAGCTATGATTGTGCCACAGCATTCCAACCTGGGTGGCAGAGTGAGATCCTGAGTCAAAAAAAATTTTTTTAACAAAAATAAAAAATTTAAGACCACTGTACAATAAGATTTTAAAAGCAACAAGAGAGATTATAAAGCAATATAGGTTTAAATATCAAATAAGTAATTTAAACAATAAGATCTCAGGAGAGATTACATCCAGGTCTTTTGAAGGCATTTTCAGCCCATGTAATTAGTATAGTATAGTTTTTACTACAAATGTATCAGATTCTTAAAATTACTGTAACTTTTTAAAAAGAAGCAGTAGCAGGGGGTGGCAGCTTCTCATTACTCAGGCTTGAGAACAGGGAAAAGGAATAACTGGGTAGGAAATTAGATTAAATGACCACTAAGATCATTTCTGTGGGTCTACAGTTCTTCTGATTTAAAAATGCATGAAATCCCAAATACAGTACAGCACAATGTACAAAACAAATTCATAAAGCACTTAAGCACTGTCTTAAGACAATGGTCTTCAAAACCTGGTGAAACCCAGTAGGGTCCCTAGCCTGTTAGGAACTGGGCTGCACAGCAGGAGGTAAGCAGCAGGTTAGCGAGCAAAGCTTCATCTGTACTATAGGCCCTTCCCATCTCTTGCATTTTTGCCTGAGCTCAGTCTTCTGTCAGAACAATGACAGCTTAGATTCTCATAAGAGTGCAAACCTTATTGTGAAGTGTGCATGCATGCGTGGGATCTAGGTTGCACGCTCCTTGTGAGAATCTAATGCCTGATGGTCTGAGGTAGACCTGAGGCAGTGATGCTAGTTGTGGCTGCAAAGACAGGTTAACATTAGCAGTGAGGTGTGACTGCCAACTTCCCCTCACCTCCCCACCCCCTTCCCCCAGCCTCCATGGAAAAACTGTCTTCCATGAAGCTGGTCCCTAATGCCAAAATAGATTCTAAATAACCGGGATAACTGGTTAAACTATGTAGATGCCTATGAACTAGCTCAAACTTAGGAATGAGAACCTATAAAGTTGCATTTAGCTTATTTGTATCTTGAGCAAGCTCCCTAGGTCAGCAGTCCCCAACCTTTTCAACAAGTTTCATGGAAGACAATTTTTCCACAGAAGGGTGGGGTGGTGGTGGTGTTGGACTATCTTAAGGATTAAAGATGATGTAAAATGCTGAATACAATTCCTAGCACATTTAGTAGGCATTAAATGAATTCATTTCATTCATTCAACAAACATTTATTAAGCACTTATGCAACAGGAGACGAAGAACTCATTAATTTGTTAAGCATGAATAAATATGGCAACTCTGCAATGGTGTCATGAGAACATATAACTGGAGTGTCTGTTCTGATCAGGACAGTCTTCCCTGAGTGAGCTGAATGATGAAGAGACATTAACTGGCTGGAAGGAGGAGCATTTCCAGGCAGGGAAGTCTCATAACCAAAGGCCATATTCCTGAAGCAGAACAGAAAGCAGACAGAGTGACTAGGGGAGCAAGGGAATGCCAGAAAGCACAGGGGACACGAGGCAGGAAAGGCAATCAGGTCCAACTACGCAGGGCTTACAGGGCATGTTAAAGATGTTGGTTTATCTTATAAACTGTGGGAAGCCTCTGAAAGACTTTAGACACACAGACACCTTATGAGATCTGCGTTCTGAAATTTCCATCTAGCGTGGAAAACTACAACGGAGACCACAGCAGATGCTGGCAGACCCTAATGAGGAGATTCCTAAAGCAGTCCAGACAGAGATGTGAAGGCTGGAACAGGAGGGCTGCTGCTGAAGACAGAGGGTAAACAGTAAGAGACAGTCAACAGGACTTCAGGAGGGACTGAGGAGAGGATGAGAGAGGAACTGTCAGACTTCAACTCCTATGGAAAGGGACGGGGGTGATTATACCCGCGGAGTGAAACACAACAGGAGCTATTTTTCCTCTTCAGTTTCAAATATGTATGTGCATGTGCGTATATGAGCAATGATTCCCAATTGCAGGGTTGATCTGTACAGAAAGTATCCAGCACAGAAGTACAAGGTGCCTGTATTTATTCTACTGGGTGCTTATGGATCTCTGAGACAAAATAATAGGCTTCTACATGTGAGCAGATCTGAACAGAACGGAGGCCCTTACCTTCCATCAGGTTATATTTTTTACACAATTACCCCAAAGCTTCCTTTATGACTACAGTTCAGTGTTGCCTCCAGAAGCAACTTATACACTCAGCCGATAAGTAATGTTTACGAAACGACGACAAAAGCCTGCCGAGTCCAGAAGGAACCTTCAAGCACCATCACCAGCACGTGATCACGTTTTACAGTGACAGGCTGGTCTGGGGCATCTTCCTTCCACTGTGTATTTTAAGCAGCAGAGCGGAGACGTGCTGATTAGAAAAGTCACTCACAGATTCCGGGTTTTTTAAAGCGCCATCCTACAAATAAGTCTCGAGTGTGACGGTGCAAAGAAACAGTCGGCAACTTACCATGAAGTCACGACTGGCAGGCGCTCTTAGAGGAGATGAAGCAGGGACGCCCGTTAGAGGAGGGAGTTTGACCCTGTGGATCTCCGGATCGCAGGTTCGTGCCCGCTCAGACCCCACGAAGTTTCTGCAAGCCGGGGGGGTCCGTAAAGCCTCCCGCGCCCCTCCTCTCCCGCTTGGAAAGACGCGACTGCAGGAGCCGCCTTGCAGTCCCAGCAGGCGGGACGCCTGC